GTCCCATGCTCTAAGGCTCCAGCTGGTCACCTGGAAGAGAAGTGGTATTTTTCCTCCTGTAGGTGTGCACGTACATGTGTGCACAAAAGGCTGTGCATGTTTGCTATTTAAACGGAAGATGTGTCCAGGAGTCATCGAACAGCAGGACCCAGCTGGCCAAGGGCAGCCCCAGGGTTAAGCTGCCATCGGGCTCTGCCACCCGCGGTGTCGCCAGTGCAGGTCACCGCCGTTTGCCACGGTTCAGTGGCTGCTCTGAAGGCCGAGCACAGAAATCATAAACCAAACCAGACACCGGTTCGTTGCCGCTCCTGCCCCGGGCGGACCCCGCCGGGGGGTCTGTGCCAGCGCAGGCCAGGGGCTGCCAACAGCGGGGGCCCCAGACGCTGCAGCGCCGGCGGGCGAGGGCGGCGGCGATCGGAGGCCCTGCCCGGTGCCGCCGCCCTTCCCCCAGGGGCCTGGCGGCCGGGGCGGGGCGGTGTCGGGGCAGAGGGCACCCGCTGAGAAGGGACAGTGGCGCCACCGCAGGCCGTTGCAAGAGCAGCCCTGCCGCCCCTCCCCGTGCCCCGCCGGGCCGTGCCCCGAGCGGCGGCGCCGGGCAGCAGGGGACGCGTCCCGGTGTCCTTGGCGCCGCCGACCTCGCCCGCCAGCCGCCGCCGCCTCCCTCGCTGCTCCGCTCCCCGAGGCGCTGCCGCGGGCCGTACCTGTCGCAGGGCGCGCAGCGAGCGGCCAGCGCGCGGCCGAGGAGCGGACCGCCAGAGCGGCACCATCGCGGCGGCGGCGGCAGCAGGGGAGGGCCGCAGGGCGGACACCGGAACCAGCCCCGCGCGGCACGGAAGCGCGCGGCGGCCGCCCAACCGCCGCCAGGACGGAGGGGGCCGGGGCGGAAACCATCGCGGAGGGGGGGGGGAGGGAGAAGAGGGCTGAGGGGCAGGGACAGGGACAGGGACAGGGTGGGGACGGGGGTGTAATTGTAATATTCCTACGTATCACCAGATATGTAATAATAATATACATATATAATAGGTATGTATTGCATATATACCTATAAACACATACATTTGTGTATATACATATTATTACATGTCATAATATATGTACTTGTAATAATAAATATGATAAATACGTAATGATAAATAATCCTCTGTATTACCAAAGAGTGCCGTTTCATGACACACTTCATTGAACCAGCTTTGGATTGCTGGAGGGCAGCTGTACCAGTGTTTTTCCTGCTCATCATGGCAAACCACGGGGCTCATGTGGAATGACATTGCCGCAAGCGTCAGCCACTGGGATGTTGCATGGTTAGAAATGGGCAATGAAGTCATTTTCCTGTGGCAAACTGGCAAATGAGTCGACTAGTAAGCCCTGTTCCTCAGATGTGGTCTGTATGCTGAAAATATTTGAGAATCCCCCAGCTAGTGTCTGTTTTCTGCCTGCTTCCAGGCGAGGAACCACTGGTGGGAGAAAACCCAATGAACCTATTTGCAGAACCTGAGAATTAGCCTGGGATAGCTATAAACGGCTGTCTTGCAGCCAGGCATCTCTCAAGGAGCCAAGTCTGGGTTATGCACATCCTTAATTTATCCACTGCTTAATAATATATGAATGGTGAACTGCAACCTTCAAAATATGGGATCATTTCCAAAGGAAAGAAGTTGAATAAAAATCAACAGGGGATAGTCCCTGAGGCTTTGAGGATGTGCTGACTGCTTTAATAAAAGGCAACTGAACCAGAAAGGCTCTCTGCCAGGGATTTCTCTGTGATCTGCTTTTTGACCACCTGATGTCAACTGCTTTTAACCACAGCCTCCTCTCTACCCAGTGAATACCCTAAACATTGCCATGCTCAATAAGCATGTGAAGGCAAAGCAGGTGAAGTCCCAGGAGTGGCACATGTGGCTTGGCTTTTGTCCGCCCACCTGCAGCTCCTGCACGAAGTTAAGCGTCTGACAACCACACGTGCCCCTGGGGCAGATAGTTTGTCCTGGGGCTGGTGTTAGGGCGTGCTCAGCTGGGAGGGATGCCAGCTCTGCGGGCTGTGGCACTGTCTCCAAAGCACCCTGTGACAACGGACCCTGTATTGCTGCTCTTCCTGTGTTGTCCCATTTCTTGGCCATGTCCTACACTACAGACCTCCAGTTCAGCCAAAACGCATCTGTGTCCCCGTGGTGGGGGAAATGCCTGGGCGCTTTCCATGGGACATGGGTAGCACCTGGGCTCTGGGCTGGCTCCTTCCTTGCCTGTGGCATTGCTTGTCAGTCTGGTGTATTTGCACTGTCTCACCAGCGGTTTACCATCCTGGGTCCGGGATGGGGTTTCCAGGCCAAATTGTAGGGAGGAATTGCTCTTCTGGCTCTCTGCCCACGTGGGCAGCCACCGGTTCAGCAGCAGCCCTTGCCTGTCTGACTCCAGGGGCTACGAGTGTGGGAAATGGCCGCGACAGGGAAGGTGGCTGGAGCCTGATGCTGGACCTGACCTCCTGGATGTCCATCTGCATATTCAGAAGTCGTTCCCAGCTGGTTGGCTGCCTCCGGCCTCCCCACTCCCTCTTTAAAGGACCTGAGCGCAGCAGGAGGACGCGCTGGCTCTGCAGCATCCCACGGCCCCTGCCTGCGGGACACTGCAGGACACTGTGGGACACTGCTCCCCGTGCCCCTGGAGCCGAGGTGAGTGGGGCGGAGAGGTGTGAGCTGCAAGGGTTGGGGACTGCCGGCTGAAGACAGGGGGATGTGGCGGCTGGGGAAGGCTCTGGGGGCATTTGCAGTGCTGGAGGGGTGGCACGGCTGTCTCACTGAGGAGCACCTGGGGAGCCCATGTGGGTTGGCTCCAGTCTTGGAGAGGGTACACTTGGCTTCTCTTCTAAGCATCTTCACTTCGTTCCTCAGTCTTTTTCTTCAGGTAAGAGGAGCCTTGGCCGCTTTTTAGTGTTCCAGAAGGTGGCACTGGTGAAGGCTGGTAGTAAGAGTAGGAACTGAAGCACGCATCTGCTAAGCTGACCAGGAAAGGGCTGCATCAGCAGGAGCAGTTTGCTTGGGGCAGCACCTCCTGGTCCCTGCGGTGCTGGCGAGGCTGTGAGGGGGAAATGAGGCCACCCACAGCGAGCTGCCACAAGCTGGGACCGCAGGCTCTGCTCCCTCCCTCCCTCCAAATCTCCAGCAGAAAGATGGTGGTGCTGGAAACCTTAAGCAAGTGGAGGGCTCCTTGCTAGCTCTGCGTTGATCTGCTTACAAGGGGTGTATTGCCCCGGGTTCCTGGGGCTGGGAAGCCTCAGCACAGGGGACAGGTAAGCTCCCTGACCTTGCTGTTGAACACACTAGAGGTGAGGAATTGTGAGCAAGTGCCAAAAGGTGTTTCTGTCACAAAACAAGTGAGGTAGCAGGACTGGCTGTCTTGTGCCCATGCCTTTGCAGAAAGGCTTAAGGGGGGATGGAGTCTATGGCTGCAATGTGTTTGCTGTGTGACTTTCTTGGATGCAGCTGGCATGCTAAGTGGCAACTGCAGGCAATGGTGAAGCTTGTTACACCAGGGCCAGGTGTGATGCTGAGAGCTGCCGGCAGCCTGGCCTTGCACCAGCCATTGATAAACTGAGCAGTTTGAAAGCCCCCACAACAGACTGTTAGGAAAATGAAATCCTACTGGTCAAGAGGGGTGGGTAGACAACACAGGAGAGCAACAAGTGGTGTCAGATAACCCAGAAAAGACTTGGTTTGTAAAGACTAGAGCTCCAAAAAAGGTAGAGCTCTCCTAGACACCTGCCTGGAATAGAGGGCTGTTTGAAGAAAGGCAACCTGCTAAAAAACAGTGAGAAGAAATCCATTTTCTACACTGCCTGGAGGACTCCCCACGGAGCAGACAGTCATGGGGACAGGAGACTGATGGTGTTGAAAATGATCAGACATTTCTGGGTATAGCAAAAGAATCTCAGACTTTAAAGATGTCTGGAAAACACACAAGCTGTCCTAATTCAGTGGTGCAAAGCTACTGCTAATTAATGCGGATGAGAAAGAAGTATCCCAGAGGAACAGTTACTGTGTAATTGCCCAGGGTATGAGCTTTTACACCTTCTTTTGAAAAACTGCCTGAGTGAGGGAATGAGTGGAGGGGGTGGATCCCTGAGTGGAGTCAGCATGACTATATTAAGCCCGGGGCTGCTGGCTCAGTAGTTTTTCTCTTCCTTGATAATCCCTATCCCCATTCCTTTTATTCATTGTTTTGCCAAGCACTTAGGAACCCTGTGCTGTGTTAGCCTGAACATCTCAGTGGGTCCCGCTCGCAGCAGGTCACATCACACTTTCACCCAGGTCACATCACACTTTCACCCTCGCTGTGCCCCTTTCCACCAGCCTGTTTGAGCTGGCCCAGCCCCCCAGTGCTGCCACCCATCCCCATGCCCTGGTGGCTCTGCTGGTGGGTGCTAGGGGCTGGCAGAAGCCAGCAGCAACCATGCCCTGGCGTGAACGCCTTCACCAGGGATGTAGCTGCTGTTCTGTGCTCTGTCAGCACCCAGGAGCACCCAAAACCACTTTTGCCCAGGCATATGTGGCAGAGGGCTCCATCTGGTGCTCACCTCCCTTGTACCTGAGTCCACAAGCCCAGAAGGAAGTTTCCTCAAATGCTTCTGGTGTGGATGCAGCTGGTGGTGTGTTGCCAGGCACATCTGGGGCCCAAACCAGGTAAAACGTACTCTGGGCACAATGAATGCCTGGCTGGTAGGTGGGAGCTGTGGCAGTGCCCAGGGCATTGCTGCTGTGATGTGACATCCAACAGCCTGCTCATAGGTTTTGCAGTGCCTGGAGGTTTCTGCCTGGGTCATTCCCTGGTGAAATAGTTTTTGCAGGGGAGCAGTGATGCCACAGAAATCTGTGAGGAAAAATTTTTATCTGGCCATGTGCATGGAGAACTGCTGTACGAGGTCCTGTTTCTTGCTCTTTCTCCAGTTCCACACTGCTAGCAGGCTGAAACATCTAACACCTGGGAAGCCTGCTAGTCTGACACTGGAAATGATCCCCAACCAGCTGAAGGTCAGCTCTCCAGTTTCCAGGCAGGAGGAAGACAAAATGGATGGCAGGACTGGCTTTGAGCAGGACAGAGGCCATGCCACTTCAGGGCATGGCCAGGGGCTGAATTCGGAGCCCTATTTCCAGACTGACTCTCTCTTGCCTTCCTCCAATGCATCCCTCATATCACAGTTCCTCAGCCACCCAATGTTTGGCAGGAGCCTGGATTCCACCATCCTTTTCCCTTCCTCTCAGGCAGTTGCCCTGCCTCAGGACAAGTGTGGTGCATCTCCTGGAGAAGGAGCACAAGCCCTGGCTTTCCCCAGGACCCGTGCCTCGGCTCCCATGCCCTGTGCTGGTGATGGGGACCAGCTCTCCAACCAGCACCTACGAGCCAAGAGGGCCAGGGTGGAGAGCATCATCCAAGGCATAAGCCTCCCACCAACCCCTCAGGCACTTGACACCAGCCTGGAGGCAGCTTTTAGGCATGAGAGGGAGAGAGGTAGTGAGATACCCCCGGAGAACAAGAGGAAGCCGAGGGTGCCCCAGCAGGGCCTGGGGGTGGCTGGACGAGTGGCCCCCATGGGTGGCAGCTCCCATGCCAAGGGCTGCCAGCAGCTGAAGGAGCAGCTCTGCTTTTTAGAGCAGCAGCTGAGGCGGCTTCAGGAAAAGTTCTACCAGGTCTACGACTCTGCGGATGCTGCTCAAACCCAGGAAGATTCCGAGAAAGTGCAGCCACTTCCTGAAAGGCCTAGAGACAGACTGGATAAGGACAGTGCCACTGTCACCAGCAACCCCTGCAAAGCACCTCTCTGGAGGAGCATCCTGGAGGTGTGTGGGCTGGAGGAGGACGAGGACAAACGTGATGCAGGTGGCCTGCCCATGGCAGTGAGGGTCCTCTCGCAGGCACTGAAGCATGAGCTGGCCGGGGTAACGTCCCAGGTGGTAGACTCTGTCCTGAAGACTGTCTGGCCGAAGGCAGCCAGCCACCTCCAGCAGCAGCACAACAGCTGCCTGGTGCTGGGGCCAGATGCCAGGAGAGAGTACTTTACTGGTGGGAAATGCAGAAAGCCCCTTGCTAAGCCATCTCCCATGAATGCACCAGGCTCACTGGGCTCAGCTCAGGCTAAAGTCCTGCCAGGAACTTTGGAGAAGAGCCCGGGCTCTCATGCTGGCTCCTTCAGTTCAAAGGGCATCAGAAAATCCTCTCAGATACCCAGCATGGGTTATTCACTGGGCCCGGTCACCCCTGTCCAGGACAGCCAGCTGTTGAGCCAGATGTTGGACTATGGCCAGCACAGCCTCTGGGGCACCGACTCTCGTGGGAGCCCATCTGCTCTGGAGAGGTGTCCTCCAGAGCCCCTCAGCTTACACTGGGGAACCGTCAAACTGAGGTCATCGGTCGTGAGACAGCAGCAGCACCATCCTCTGCCCCTGAGCCCTGCCAACATGGAGAGTCTGGCACTGCTGCCAGCTGGCAGGGATGGCCACAGCGACCTGCCAGCTGCAATGGATGGAGCACCCTTTGCCTCAACTCAGATATCCTTTAGGGGCAGCTAGAGAGGTCCCTGGAGAATGTGGTTCCCTTGTCCTTTGGAGCCACAGCTTGGCACAGCCCCTGCCGGTCTGTGCAAGGCCAGGGTCCCTGCTGCTCCACAGGGGGCTAAAAGGGTGTGAGCAAGAAGGAGGTCCTAAGCCATTCCGGGGCACTGCTGGTCCTCAGGGTTGGTTAGATGCTGTAGCATAGCTGTGGGTCAGGAGCTCCCAAGCATGTTCTTAGTCCATACTAGTGGTCCTGTAATCCTATGCTATGAACAGGTGTCTCATGAAAATCCCTGTTCCCATTAGCCTGTACAGTGCCAGGGGACCATTAGCTTCTTCAGGGATGCTGAAGGGGAAATCCAGTGGCTGCCCAGTCAGAAATGAACCCCCTGTGCCCTGCTGCCAGGTTGTGGGGAGGAGTTGTCATGGGCACTGGGTATGTGTGTGTCAGGGCTGGTGCTCAGGGACACGCTGAGCTGGGGGGCTGCTGCGTGCAGGTTTTCCTTGACCCCAAGGCAGATGCAGGAGGCGCTGACCCCTGGCCACCTGAAGAAGGCCAAGCTGATGTTTTTCTTCACTCGCTACCCCAGCTCCACTCTGCTGAAGACCTACTTCCTTGATGTGCAGGTAAAATGGCAGTACCCTGGGATGATGCCCCCATGCAGTGTGGCACTTAGCCTGCCTCACTGGGCAACCACGAGGAAGGGGCTACTCTTGTGTTTCCCTGCCTTGCTGGCAGGAGCCAGGGGACAGCACCCATTTCAGCATGGGCTGCCCTGGAGCAGGTGCTCAGGGCTGTGGCAGAACTGGGTTGCCAAGTCTTCACTCTGTGCAATTGAGGTGTTGGGATTAAAGCATATCATGAATGTGTCTTTCCACTTCAGGGCAGCTGAGATCCAAATCTCGGTGGGGAGAGCACTGTGGACACCCCTGTGTCATTGTCCCAGCTGGTGTTTTGGCAGGCCTGAGGCAAGGCTGGGTTTGGGCCAGGCCAGAATTGTGTAGCGGGGTTTGTGGGGGCTCATGCGTAGGGAGGTTCCAAGCTGACATAACTCATCCTCCTTCTCTCCCTGGCAGTTCAGCCGCTGCATCACCTCCCAGCTCATCAAGTGGTTCAGCAACTTCCGTGAGTTTTACTACATCCAGGTGGAGAAGTTTGCCCGACAGGCCCTGCTAGAGGGTGTTGCAGATGCTTGCACCCTCCAGGTCTCCCGCGACTCAGAGCTTTTCCGTGCCCTTAACATGCACTATAACAAGGGGAACGACTTCGAGGTGAGGAGGGGCAGTTGGGGGATAGGGATGGTGGGGTTTGCAGGGGTAAGGAGGAGCCAGGAACATGGTGGTGCCATGGGCTGATGCCCATCTTGCTGCAGGTGCCAGGGCGGTTCCTGGAGGTGGCCAGTCTGACGCTGCAGGAGTTCTTCAGTGCTGTCAGGGCGGGCAAGGACGCCGACCCCTCCTGGAAGAAACCTATTTACAAAATCATTTCTAAACTGGACAGCGACATCCCGGAAGGGTTCAAAGCTGCTGGCTGCTCCCAGGAACTGCTCCGCAGCTGAGTCTCTGTGAAAGCAGCCCCAGGTCCTGTGTGCAGCCATCATGTGTTTAGTACCTCATGGGCACTGTGCACAGCATACGTTATTCAGAGTACTCTCTCTCTGACCTGTAAGACAGCTCCTTGCTTGAGGCCTGTCACTTGCCTCAGGAGCTGGGATTTTATGCTGTGTTTTCTATTCCCCTGCTCAAAGCCAGTGGGGACCTGCAGAAGGAAGAGACAGAGATGAAGCCATCAGGTTGGAGCCTGGGAAGTTGCCCTCCCCCAGCTCTCCCCGTGACCTTGGCTGAGCACCTTCCTTCTCTCTTCCAGAGGGCCACAGACCAGAGCAAACAAACCTGCTGTTTATAAAGCAGACAGATGTCCTAGTAGTGGGCAAAGTTTTCTTGGCACAGCAGACTGGTGGATGAGCCTGGTCCAACAGCACAACTCAGTTTCTGTCCAGATACAACACACCAGTGTCCAAAGAAAACAGCTGGTGAATTCCAGCATTTCAAGCACCCCAAGGGGACAGCTGACTCTGTCTGGGAGATGTAAAACCAGTGTTTATTGTAGCCAGCACAAACAACATTCCCCCCTGCCTCTCCTGTGCTGTTTGACAGGAGTTTGACACACCTCAAACAGCTGTGTACTGTGGCCAAGCAGTTGAGTGTGTGCTGGTTGCAGGACTGACTGCTTCCCAGCAGTGTTATCCGTGATGCTGGAAGAGAGCAGGGTGCATGGCTGGCACCGCTCAGCACTGCAAACAGCCCCTATCAGCCTGGGAGGACCTGGGAGAACAGCCCCACATTAAAAACTCACCCATGTCCCCTCACATCATGTTTCTGCAGGCAAAACTGCCCCAAGTGTCTCTGCTTTGCAACGTGTCTGTGATGAAAGAGAAGCATGCTATTTGGGACCCATCAGTCCCTATGGGTTTAATACAAGCTGGGGAGCTGGGCCCTGAGATCTGCAGCCCCCTTGATGTAGTGGGTGTAAACCCAAGGAGGTTTCTTTACCCTGTGACCAGGACTCAGTGGCCACTTTTCCATGTGATAGAGCATGGCAAAGCATTTTCTGTTAAGGGCTCTCTAATCCTGACAGAGGCAGGAATGGGGAGGGAAAGCATGTGAAGAGGAGGGAGGTCCTGGGAGAGGCACAGCAGGGAGAGCAGCGATGTGTAACTGTGGATGAGGAACAACATACACATGCAAAACTCCCAGGGAGAAGAAGACTGGAAGGAGGCCAAGATGATTTTGGGTGTGCTGCAGTGTCAGCTGTGTACTAGTGCACAGCAAGTGACTCGGGAGAGAAAAATCACAGCTCTGGTATCAGAAGAGTGCATGGAGTGATCTGTAGGTAGGGCATCTGCAGGAGTAAGGAAGTGTGTGGTATCACCAGGGCATGATGAGAAGGCTCTGGAATAGGGGCAGTTTTACAGTGGTTCCCCCCATGGCGAGTGTGGCCACCCAGATTTCCTGCCTCTGTTTGTATGTTTATTTCTTCAAGTTTGTATATTTTACAACATCAAATTTACTTGACTCATTTTTAAATAAACACATGGTGTAAATTACCCTTTTACATCCCTAGAGACCTTTTTGATGACTTCTATTCTAAAGCATTACACTGAGAATTTCTTGTTTCTTGTTGGGAAAAGACTAAGACTGCAGCAAAAGGGCTTAGTCCACCTGCTGGCATCTCTGTGGGGCCAAGCAGCCCCCACTAACCAACATTAGCTCCTTTAAACCCCAGTGCCTCGTGGTCATTCTGCTCTGAAGTGCAACTTGTTGGGAGGATCAGGAATGGGGGGCTGGAGGCAGATGGAGCCATAGCCCAAAGCTTAGGGGTGCCAGACTCAAATGTTCAACATCCACTAAGTGCTGCTGGTGCTATTTGTGCAGGCAATAACTACCTCAGAGCTTAAGTAATGCATTGGGTAGGCAAAAACAACCCTGCTGAAAAAGGAAATGATGGCCTGGCTCAGGGAAGGGTCAGTAAATTCATCTGGCCATATAATTAGGGAACGTAAGATACAGGTGTACTGGAGGCATCATGCTGACACAAAGCCACTACAGAGTCCCTGGGGGGAGCAGTTTCATGCTTCCTCTGGTAACATGCAAGTTCATGAGCGTCAGTAAATCAGCAGGTGGGGGGCTAAGGCAGTGCCCTAAACCACAGTCATGCAGTGGCTGAGGTTGTAGGGGACCTCTGGAGATCATTTTGTCCAACCTCCTGCTCAAGCAGGGCCACTGAGAGCTGGTTGTCTGTGACCATATCCAGACAGCTTTTGAGTATCTCCAAAGAGTGAGACTCTACAACCTGATCATTAATAAAGACGTTCAGAGGATTGCACAAAGTATTTGCAGCAGTATTTTTGCTCCAGCATTTGCCATATAACTATGAAGAAATGGGAACTAGAGAGCTGTATGTTATTCTAGCTTCTGCCTGTTTGGGGAGCCTGGGGTTCAGCTGCCTCCTCTGGGGCCAATTGTTTGCTTGCAGTCAGGGGGGTTGCACTCAGGCAGGCACAACTCTGCTGCATGATGCTAAAGTGGGGGAGCTGAATCACAGCCTTGTGCTCCCATGAGAGCCTTGGAAAGCAGCAGCCAACTGGCAAAGAAGTTAAGAGGGGACTCAAACTGCCTTCCCTCAATCTAGGTCACAGAAACACTGATACAGAGAAGGCAGCACATCTGCTAGGAGGTGAGGGGAGCTGGGGTTATTCTGAGGGCGATGGAGCGTGAAGTAGGAGGGAAATAAGGTGTGAATTCCACAATGCCCAGTCACTAATGGGGTTCTCTGGGGCTCCATATTAGGCCCAGTTCTCTTCAACATCTTCATTAACAACTTGGACGTAGGAGTCTATGGCATACTAAGTTTGCATATGATGCTAAATTGGGAGAAGCTGTTGACTCTCTTGAGGGCAGAGAGGCCCCGTAGAGAAGCCTTGACAAATTAGAGAGATATGCAATCACCAACCACAGGAAGTTTAACAAAGGCAAGTACTGGATTGTGCACCTGGGATAGGGCAACCCTGGCTGTGTGTATAGACCAGGGAACGAGAGGCTGGAGAGCAGTGCTGCAGAGAGGGACCTGGGAGTCCTGTTCAATGGCAAGCTGAATATGGGTCAGCAGTGCCCTGGCAGCCAGGAGGGCCAACTGTGTCCTGGGGGCATCAGGCAAAGCATCACCAGCCGGTCGAGGGAGGGGATTGTCCTGCTCTGCTCTGCACTGATGTGGCCTCACCTTGAATATTGTGTGCAGTTTTGGGCACTGCAATATAAGAAAGACATTAAGTTGTTAGAGTGTCCAAAGGAGGGCAACAAGGACGATGAAGAGTTTGGAGGTGAAGCCGTGTGAGGAGTGGCTGAGGTCACTTGGTCTGTTCAGCCTGAAAAAGAGGAGACTGAGGGGAGACCTCATTGCAGTCTGCAACTTCCTCGTGAGGGGAAGTGGAGGGGCAGATACTGATCTTTTCACTCTTGTGACCAGTGACAGGACTAGAGGAAATGGCATGAAGTTGAGTCGGGCAGGTTAAAGTTAGGTATTAGGAAAAGGTTTTTTACCCTTTGTAAAAGGGGTTTGGCACTGGAACAGGCTCCCCAGGGAAGTGTCACAGCACCAAGCCTGTGTGAATTCAAGAAGCATTTGGACACTGTGACTACAGTTTTGACTCTTAGGCTTGGGTGGGCTCTTGCTTCACTATTTCCCACTAATTACCTGAGGAAGCAATTTGGGTAGTGCACTCACCTACTGCTGATTGAGTTTCATCTTTAAATAAAAAATCCTTTCCTTCCCTCTATCCAAATTTCTGTGGTATATGCAAAAAGCCCACAGCCACCTTTAACTGTCTCCTCTGGGAATAATTCCTTAAGGCTATCCCTTTACATTTCCAATAGCATTCATAACCCAAGCACAGCAATGCACTCAGTCCATACAGCTGAACAGCACCAAAGGCTGCTAAGCATTAAGAACTGTCGATTCCTGCTCCAGGCTGTGGCAGCCAAAAGAGAGAGATGTGACCACACTGACTAAGCTGACAAGGCCGGAGAGCCCTTATGTACTCATCTATGTTAATATTTACCATGAGAGCCCTTATTACTCACGTGCAGCTAATTAGAGCATTAAGAAGTTCCTAGTGAATGTTCGCCCTGTGTGTCAAAATAGTTTTGGGGAAACTGACAAGCAATAAAATATACCTGGTTTTTGTTTTCTTCCTTTAATGACTTGGGCCGGTCTACAGTGACTGAACCAGCCCTAGAAGCTCCCAGCTTAAGCAAATGTTTTTGAAAGGGTCCTTCTCTCAAATACACATCTCAGATCCTTATTTGGCATGAGGGAAGCTCATGCTCCAGATAAGCATCCCTTGGTGAGCCTGCTCATGAAACATTGCTCAGCAAAATTTGCTGTCCTATTATATGCATCAGAGGGTCAGATTAATCCAGGTTACAGTACAATTACCACATTTGAGAGATCAGACATCACTTTTCATCTCAAGAAGACAGCCCTTCCTCTGCCTCTTTTGCGCAGAGCTGCCCTGTCCTGCAGCACCACTCCTGGGGAAGGTGATGCACAGAGACTGTGGAGATCAGTATCAAAGATAAAACAGGGTCCAGCAGGGCCGACTGGTATCTCTAGCTGATAGCAAAAGCTTTTTCCCTTTGCACACCATGAGATACAGTACTAGTGTGAACCATGGACCATGGAATGGGAACTGGGTCTGTGCCCAGCACCAGCTTTACAGCAGCAGCTACATGAGCTGTTCTTTGACTTAATAAAAAGCCCCATTTTAGTGAGACAGTGGCAATGGAGCCATGCAGCCAGGGCTGCATCCTCTTTTTCGGGGTGCCCCAGCTCACCAGCCTGCTGTAGCAGCTCAGGTGGAGATACAACAGCCCAGGTGGGGAGATGAGCATGGTGAAAATGGGAGCTGTTTAACTGAGAGCTTCACCCAGACAGGGCAGTTCAGGCGGGCACTGAGACAAGGAGGCCAATGCGTGGCCCAGGGACTTTTGAAGGAGATAC